AACACTTCCTTGTGCTCCACCCTTCAGATCTGGGCTCAGTTTGTTGTTGTAATGAAAAGATTAGAGTGTTTTGTTTTTAGAATTTTCTGTATGTCTATCTCCTTTTCCAATTCGTTCCCCCTCAAACAAAGAGCTCACGGAGCTTATTTATAGCAAACTTAACCGCCACGTGTCGCTCTCTGATTCGAGCATTTCTTTATTTCGACTTTGAAGAGCGTGCCACCCTGTTGAGGTCGGCTGTGGATAGGATTTGGTTAGACCAAATTGGTCAAGGTAGGTTTATGGTTGGTTTTTGGACTGAACTGGTTGGCCGAGTTGGGCCTGTTGGGTTTGGGCCGGTACCCGGCCTGGTCTAGTCTTGAACCTGGGCTCTGTTTTGGGCCGAATTGGGCTCTGTTTTGGGTTCATAAATTTAATTTGGGCCAAACCTAATCTGTTTTCCTCTCTTTTATTTTTGCAGGTACACAATTTGTTTGGGCTCAAAGTAGGAAGGCAATCACTTCAATTTGAATTAGTTTATTGTAATTAGTTCTAATTCTCGCTTTATTTGGAGGTCATTTTCCAAGTTGTACAATGTATCAACTTGAATATTTGATAATAAAGCTCATTCCACTATTCAATTAGTCTCATTTCAAATGTCGAATCCAAATCCAAAGTGTACAACAAACTTTGCACTATAGCCATTTCTTCCATCCAATTGAGAACTTATATTTAAGATTTTCCACTGCTAATCTTAACTTAAACCGATCCTATTTTAGCTAATTATGCCCTAGAATCGACTAGGAGAAAATTTGACAATTGTTGGTTCATATTGACTTGCAACTGCTAGTCTCAACCAAACTATCTTCAACTTCTTTTTAAATATAATCGTAGTATGACGTGACAATAATTATTTTCAATAAAACGATTATCCCGGACAAAATGTGGTGTCTACAACCGGGACCCAAACGTTGTCCCACTCTTTCACTTCTTTTCCTTGCCTCCGCTAGCTCTCTCTCATGTGCTAGGAGCCGGAGAGTTCGGTTTATGTCCTTGTCAAGTGGTAGCAAAGGTGTCGGGTTGCTCCGGGTCATGCACCACCAACACACTATCGAAAAACACACAAAGTCTAGCACAAGCAACACACACACACTTGCAAAATTGTAAATTAAAAGCTAGATTAACAACCAACAACTTTTTCAAGATAAAATACCGTTGTTCCCCGACAACGGGGCCAAAAACTTGACTACCACGAAACTACACCACAATAAAATCTCGACTAGAGCCCAAGTTTTAAAACTCTAGCCGAGTGCAGTATATGGAAAGTATTTAGATATTAACCCGAGCCGGTCCGTCTACCCCTACTTCGGTTGTTGGAATCATTATCGAGCAACAAAGTTTTGGTTTGAAAGTTTGCTAATTAAAATAAAACAAAGCAAAGGTAAATGGGTTTGAAAACTCTTTTGTGGAAGGATCACTTGGGTGTCGCTTCCCCCTAACTAGTACCATGATATGTGAATTGGAACGATTGTTTCGGGAAAGGTAATCGCGAACCGCAGAGGGATGCATATCTGGTCGGAGACCACAATCTTAATTGCTAAACCAAGGTAAACATAAAGGTCGTGTCACCCGACCCTCTCGGTTTAGGCAATTGGTAATTGACTTACTGCCTCACTCAACTCAAAGGTCGGACGGCTTAATCACGATTAACCGATTCGCTTAATTCAACACTGAGGGTGGCCCTAAATTAACCTAGTTAGGTGGCTTAGAAAGCCGAAGGAAAACCAACTCGATTGGGTCTCCCTTGGAAGGGGGATTTTCCTCTCTAAGCTAGGCTAAGGTGGATATTTGGATTGCTAGCACCAACATGCACAAACCTAAGGGCGCTAAGCAAGATCATGCACATTCCTTAGGTTGCTAAGCACCAAAATGCACAAACCTAAGGATGCTATGCACAAAACATGCACAACCCTTAGGTTGCTAAGCACAAGCATGCACAATCAATCATGAAAAATACCTCAATCATTGAATTAAGCAATACCCAATGACAATCATTCAATTCACATAAAAGAAACTACATGGTAGAGTTAGGGTTTAACAACACCCAAGTGAAAGGAGATCTACTCCATACTAGAAATTGGAAAAACAAGGGGAGAAGAGGTGGAAACCATCTTGGAGGATGCTCCCATTCTTCTTGGCCCTTGTGTTGAGCTTTCTTTGGAGGAAATCTTCCCAAAATCCACCTTGAAGCAAAACCCTAGCCTTCTTCTCCCTTGGTTCGTGTTAACCTCTCTAAAAATCTGAAGAAGGATTTTCACACAAAGTGGGCTCTCCCTCTCTCCTCCTTTCAGCTCATCTTTTAAACCAGAGACGAGCTCAGTTCACGGCCTGAGTTCACGACCGTGAACCACAAAACGCATCCGTGAACTGCAGCGTGCGCTAAAACGCACCGCTTTGATAACTTGAGTTCAGGATCAACAGCCTCTGTTCACGGTCTTAGTGACCGTGAACTCACCTTGCGTCAGTAACATCTGTTTTGCCTCTGGATGCTTTGCGATTCACGGTCAAGGGCTCTTCTTCGTGGTCATGCAAGACCGTGAACTTACTTGGATAGCCGTGAATTGGCCCTTTTTCACCTCTTCTCCCGGTTTTTTATCCTTTTCGCCCAATTTTTGACTCCGAGACTGGTTCCACCTGTTAAATCCTGAAACACACTAAAACACGAGGAACCTAGCGTACAACCAACCTTTTAGGAGTGAAATTGTCACAAACACCTAAATAAAACGGGGGCAAAACATGTACAATTAGGCCCGAATCAATAGCTAATGTGTATTTTGTTGAAAATACAAGAAAAAAACATTAATGATGACGAGTTTAATGGTTAATAATCATACTATATATTATTAATAACACCTTACAAAAGTTTAATAAAGATATATGGTAGCATATCATGTATGTATAACATAACTCATACAACATTTATAATGACTAGCCATTAACTTATTAACGTTTTTAGATCATTGTTAATGACGCAACATAATGTTACGAACATTTATGCACGGGTATCATTAACGATATACATCATCATTAGGGGTCGTATACTATGCCTACCCCCAAAGGGGTCGGTTTTTTGACACCCTATTCTTGATTGTTCACTTTTCCATTAAATTATTTGGCAAGTTTTATTAATGGAAGTTGTTTTTTATTTAATTTTTTGTAATCTTGTAAACTGTGATAATAATTATGAATAGGGAATGGGCAATATAGCTGGATGGGGAACTTGACGGCTCCCATAATAATTACAAAAGTGTCTTTTCATCTCCCAAGAACTTGACTGCAACCCTCTCCCCTCTCCTCTGCATAAATCGATGGCGGCCAGAAACCAAAAGTATCGCCGCGGTGGGATTGCCTCCGACCTGCCTGATGGGTTGCTCGCCGGCGGAGTACAAGAAACAGGGGATATCGCCGGAGATAGAGCAAGCGAAGGTCGCGCTGGGACAGAAGACAGATCTGAGATTCCGCCGGACGGTTCTTGGCATGCCAAGAACGATGGCTCTTGTGACGACATCGAATGACGGAGAGGTGAAGACGAGATCAGACTCTCCACAGCCGAGAGAGAACCCGCCGGAGATGATGAAGAATATGGAGGGCGGTGGTGGGTCATTTCTTACCTCTCCCTGTCGCGAAGTGCAGACCTACAGCGTCTGGGAGACGGCGGCACTACCGTGAACATGTACCACTGATCTGGTACATATACCAGTGAGCTGATACATGTATCACTGAAGTGGTATATGTACCAATGACCTGATACAAGTACCTTCAAGTCATACTTTTCACACCAAAATGTGACCACCCACTTGCAGTGTTAGATATATTGTACTTGTACCATTAGCAAAATAGAAATTCATTCTAAATGTTCTCATTGCAGTGTTAGATATACTTTGGAGTGGTACCACTGAAATGGTACATGTATCAGTGAACCGGTAGATATACCAGTAAACTGATACACATACCATTGCACTGATACATGTATCATTGAACTAATATCATTGAACATATACATGTATCACTAAACTTATAGATATATATTATTGAACTAACACACATACCATTGCACTGATACATGAACCACTTAACTTGTTCATGTACACTACCAATGAAAAGATATATATACAAACAATCTGATACATAAACAAACCAGGAACTTTTTATAAGTATCACCACTAACCGTGAAGCACAAGGTTTTCTAAAAAAAGGGAAATGCCAACAACAAAAAATATCCATCAATGTAATAAATAAAAATGAAGTCGCTATGGAATTGTTTGTGTGAAGCCTAAACAACAATAAATCAGGTGCCAAAGGATGACTGAGTCACTTTGGTAATGCGACGGAAAAGCAAAATTTGAATTATAGAGTTGGGGCTGCACTTCTTGCCACTAATATAATGAGTACGTTTCCTCTTCCCCCTATCATGTTTTCCATTATCCCGACTCTCAGAGCGTCACTTCTTGCTGGTACCAGCACTCGAGGAATGATTCTGACAACTTCTACACGACGTGGAACATAGGTTCCATGCTTCTTCCCTCTAGGCACCCATGGATACAGTCTCTTCTTCCTATCCATTCCTGCACCCAAGGATACCCAGAACTATCAACTCAGTGATAGATATAAGAGATTAGCACGTAAGAAAAGTATCATTGCAGAGATACCAAATCAATGGTACATCAAAGAAACGACACTCAAGCAAAACTATCACGGTAGTGGTACTTTTATTAGCCATACTAAAGCATTTCATACCATTCTAGTGATAGCTACACAAAGAACAATGCTGAATCAAAACTATCATTGGAGTGGTACTTTTACTAGCCATAAACAGCATTATATACCACTGCAGTGATACACACACCTTCGAAAAATTGGATACATAAATACCACTGAACTGGTACAAATATTAGTCGCAATAAACATTTTATAGAAATATGAGTTCGATAAGTAAGACAACTATCACTGTAGTGGTAGAATTACCAGTCATCTTTGCACCTGTTGACTCCCTCCGAGCACCTGCAAAAAAGTACCAATGCCCCAGTAAGACATATCACTTCACTGGTACAAATACCATTAGAATTAAAAGCTTACCACTGATAACATTCAATAGAAACTCAGACACTGACAAAATTACCATTGCAGTGGTAATAATTCACTGGTATCATTACCAGTACACTGGTACTAATACCACATGAAAAAAAATCCAGATTTGGGTAATGAAAAGGACTATTGAACTAGTACTAATACCACACGAAAATCCAAATCTGGGTTTGGGAGAGAGATAGTGGGGGAGAGAGATACCTCAGATTCTTCCTCGTCGTTACCGCCGGGAAGGGGAGGAGGGTCGTCGTCTTCGCCGAGAAGGTGAGGAGGGTCTCGTCTTCACTATCGATCCCTTCGCAGTGTCCAGTTTGTGGAAGGAGATGGAGAGTCTCGGCGGCAAGGGTGGTGTTGCTCGGAGAACAGCAGCAACCACCATCCGAAATGTAGCCCACGACGGAGGATGATGGACAGAGTTGGAGGGAGAGTATCTTGTTGGTGCGGCGATGACCGGAAAACATGGACCGTGGCAGGGAAAATGCGACGGCGGCGAGCAGTGGAAGAGGGAGATCGAGGGAGAGAGGAGGAGCCGAAAGGGAGGAAAAAATGGGGAGACAAAAATGGGATTGAATTTTGGATTGCGGGTGAGAACGTTTTCCCCCATATTGTTTCCCTAGAGTCCCGATTTTCTTTCCCTTTCCAATGTATGTTGAGTTAATTAATTACATCATTAATGATCAATTACCAACCATATAACCCTAACCATTAGATTACCACTATTGAGAATGGACGGTAAAGAGCAGGGGTGTCAAAATTGAGACCCCTTAGGGGGGTTGTCAAGCTAACCGGTCTCTCATCATTATTATTGCTTTCTAAATAATTGCTCACATTTTGCGAACTAAATATTAGCTATATCTTGTAATTTTCAACGCAAATCATAGAATATTAACAACAACATATACAAAAGCTAACACCGTATTAATACCTATCATAAACGTTTCAGAAGCATTCATGCGAACTGAACAACCAATCAAAAGAGATGCAGGAAATACCAAATCAACCGCTTATCTTTCTTGGTCGAGAGTTTGCAACAAATAAGATCATTGAACAGTCGAGACAGTCGCGGACCCAGAATTTTCAGAGGGGTGTGTCGCTCTCAAAATAATAAAAATAATAAAAAAATTGAAATAAAAAAATTAAATACAAATTATTAGAAATTAATTCATAAAGTTCACCATGTCATGTTTACAACGAACCACAACGACTTTACATCTGCTGAAATATCTCTAAAATACATTCAACACTTATGCTGCAAAGCAAATCTTTTTCAATATACACAACTAAACAATCATAAATTGGTCACTCGGCCGATTTCGAAGATCGTTCTTGATTATCTTCATAGCTGAAAATGCTATTTCGCAGCTTGCAGTTGCAACAAGTAAAGTCAACGCCAACTTTAAAAGCAAGTAAACTAAAGGATAATAAGTATCGTATGCCCTTTCCACCATTTTCCTAGTTAGCTCGTCGATTCCTCGCAATCCATCAAAGCTCCTATCTTCCTTGAAAGATAATTTGATAGTGACACACTTTATTCAGTCATTAAAGGTCAACAGTGATAGTAATTTGATAGTGATACATTATCATTAACTACAGGAGTTTAGAAGTCAAAGTTATGGACATTAAGTTCCTGGACGTTAAGAGAAGGTTTAAAATAGACAAGTTTCTATTGAACATTAAGGACATGACTAATGCTTGCTTATCCATTAGCTAAAGGTTTGACACGTACATTTTTTGCATGAGCATATTGCTCGCATGAGTGTTATTCCTGATGATACTTTGGTTTAGTGGGAGTCATTTATGGGTGTTCGATAGATTATGACTAGATCAATTTCTGTAGAATAAAGTAATGGATTTCTGGAGTCTATTTTGAAATTTAAAGTGCCTTCAGTTATACAGTGGTCATATTGTATGAACGAATTTAAGTTGATTTCACTTAGGGCTAAAGTTGGACCAATTGAAAATAAGCATGTTCAAGATCACAATGCATGTAATTTTCATGCCACTCATCCATATTTTTTCTATGTCATTGAGTGTATTGGCGTAGTGATCATGGTGGTTTAATCATTATCATATTGTGATTAAAGCCGCGTTGATTCCATAATTGATACATGAGCTGGACCAGATTGTTTCAGGAGATGTCTAAGTGCAAATAGCATACGGTCACACGCCTACAGAATTTTGTGATATGATTATTTAAGAAAAATATGCAGCCGAAGTGGGAGATTGTTAGAAAATTTCATTTCCTAATATAATTAAGGGTTAAATCCTTATTCTGGCCCGGACTATACCCACATAATCAACTTTACCCAATGATCTCAAAAATTGTATTTTGGCCTCAATTATACACCATATAGACTTAATTGGCCAAATTAGTGAATTTATGTAAATTAGAAGGTCAACAACATTGAAAGTTAGTGAATCACTATGCTACGCTAACGTGATTCCATGTGAAAATAAAAATTTAATAATTTAATAAAATAAAAAGATAAACTGAAAAAAATCACTTTCTCTCCTTACTCGGCCCACACAGCCCCATCCCTTTCCCAACCCTTCTTCCCCGACGTTCCATCACATGATCCCACTCCCACAAATTTACTCCCTCAAAACACATATCCTAATTTCTCCCCTAACTCCTAAAACAACCAAATTGCCACTCCATTTTCCACCAAAATCTTGACCTTGCCGCATCATCTTCACCAATCCCAATTTCTTCGCTGTGCCCTCGATCATCTTCTCCCAAAGCGGAGACCCGCAACAGTCTTGCTCCATATTGAGATGTGGGTCGACCTTGTCGGCGCCGTCGATTGCAAGGTCGAGGGTGGGATGAGAGCCGAGATCTGAAAGCGAGATTCCGAGAGACAACATTTGCTGGTGGGTCTGTTTGGACGTTGGGATGCCTATAATTTCCTTCAACTTACCTTGCTGGAGCAAATAATAAATTAGGTCAACGGCGTGCTTGGCCGTGGAGCCGGTCCCAAGGATGATTACCATGCCGGATTTGACTGCCTCGCAGGCGGTAATTTTCTTGAGTTCTTGTTGGGAGAGGATTATAGGGGAAGGGGATAAGGAGGGTGCGGAAAGGCGGTAGAAAGGTTAGGGGAGTTGACAATGTAGGGAGACGAGAATTTTGGAGGTTAGAAAGGGTGTCGTGGTGGTGGTGGTGGCTGCAAGTGGTGGTGGAGAGGCGAATGAGGGATAAGGGTTTAATTTGAGAAGAATGGTCTTTTTGTTGGATTTTTTTAATTATTAATTATTATCTTGTTAATTAAATAAAGAAAATAATAAAATAATTTGATTTTTTTTTTGTTTGGTGCTGACATGGCAGTAAGTTGGACTGTTGATTTACGGTCAACGGTGTTGACCGTCTAACTTGACGGTCAAACCACGTGTCGTGCCAATTGAGTCTATATGATGAATAGTTGAGGCCAGAATGACAGTTTCTGAAACCACTGGCCAAAGTTGATTTTATGGGTATAATTCGGGCAAACATAAGGTATTGACCCTATAATTAATTATATGGATCACATATTTTACACAATCATATTAGCCATTTGTTAAGTGGGCTAATTGTAAGTGATCAAATTGAGGAGCCGAAGACAACTCAAACTCAATACGAGTCCAATGGGTTGAAACCCAATACTTGGTCATCTTGGATTTTATGGGAGCCCATGGTGACTAGTATATATAGAGTTTGAGGTTATGGTTCCCAATACACAAGATCAACACTTTCTCCTCTTCTCTCCATAACGAAGATGAGAGCTCTCCCCGAAGCGTCTTGGTTGAGAAAAATCATAGTACCTCTAGGATCGTGCTTTCAAAGGTATCATCCGGTCATAGATTGTTAATTTGTTATACAAATTCCGCATCAAGTTTCTAACGATCTATCATCGAAATCCAGGTATTCCTATTAACTTTTGATAATCTGACAAGATATATTCCGAAGAATTACATATGTTTAAGTAAATTCTTAACATTAGGAATTCAATTCAAATTTGAATATAACTTTCCAAACATTAGATTTATTGGACAAAACATTTTACACTCGAATGATTTTAAAATAAAATGAATTCTTAAGATGAGATTAACTTAAAGAAACATTTTTTAAAATTAATATCCATCCCTAATTCCCTAATTTTTTTTGTCAAGTGAAAAAATAGATACAGAATAAAAGCCTTTTCAAGTGAAAAAAATAAAGCAAAAACAAGATGTCGGACATCTGAACCTCTGCAACAAGATGTAGAAAAACACATGTCCAGTATATATGCAAACTAGCAAGTACAGACTGAAGCAATACTAGCCTACAGCAAAAGAGATATAAAAAGAGCCTTTTCTGCCACGAATGGGCGGCTCTTTAATACCTTTCCGGCATAGGCCAAATCCTGACTTAAATTCTACCCTTTGTAGGGAGAAAGTCACTGATTGAAGCCCACGACAACTGAAAGCATGACAGCAGACCCCCTGCAAATGTAACAAATAATAAGAAATATAGTATGATATAAAAAGGTTAGGAAGTAAAATCCAAGACATCCTGACTGCAAAATTGATGAAGTTCGCTCCTCTTTAGACTTTTGGCAGGCCCACCTGCAAAACCAACAAACACATACCACAACCATATATGTCCAAAGAAACTAGAAAAAGCCTAAAAAGCACTGGCCCAACTTAGAAAAAACCCAAGTTGAAAATCAATTACTGGACCTTGAGTAGGTTAAAAAAAATGCAAACCCAATACAAAAAGGTACTAATAATTGTACTTAAGATAAGCCCAAGGTGGAAGATCCAATAGTGAAACCACAATAAAAATTGTTAATTAAGGAAAAGGTTTTTTTTGTGAGAAACAGAGCGCAGAGGGGCGCTCTAACCCTTAATCATTAATAAAACGAGGCGTTTGTACACCAAGAGAATCGAACAACAACCAGTAGCGTAAGCTAGGTCCCGAGGTATCCACAACATGTATCCCAGTAGGTAGCGAGTGACCCACAGAAGCCATGAAATCAGCAACATAATTGCTTTCGCGAAAGACATGTTCTGTTCGAACCTCCCATTGGAGATTGAGGAGCTGTCGGATCGAAGCCGCCAAGGTCCGATGCGGGTGATTATCTCGTTCCATCTGGATGACTGTTAGCGCCGTCTTAGAGTCAGTCTGAAGTCGCACTCGTCGTATCCCCATGTCCCAGGCGATAGTAAGGCCATGATAGATTCCGGCCAGTTTGGCATGTGTGATAGATCGGCCACCCAAATTGAAAAGGCCCGCATAAATCTGTCCTCGCTATCCCGAAGTACACCTCCCAGCGTGGCACTCCCCGAGGCTAATATCACTGACCCATCTGTATTCAAGGCGATCCATCCCGGAGACGGCCTCTCCCAGCTAACCAATCTCGAGCTCCTCTCGCCTCCGGAGCCCATGGCTTCCTGCACCTTATTGAGCGCGAGGTGGCATTGTTGCTTCATTTCTTCAGCTTGGCGAGCCAGTAGTGAGGTCGGCGCCAACACTTCGTCAAAGACCCACTTGTTCCTATTTTTCCAAAGCTTCCAGCATAGGACGGCAAAGAGGGAAGAGTCTACAACAGCACTCCGGTCTGCCAGGTAGTGTAGCGCCCATTTGACGCTGTCCTCCATAAAAAAGTCACAATCCGGCTCATCCTGTAGGACCTCCGACCAAACAGCCCTGGCATAAGAGCAATCCCGAAGCACATGCATAGTCGTCTCTGGTCCACCGCCACATATCTGACAATCATCAACTTGAGCTAGGTGTCGTCGGCGGCGCTCCCCATTGATGAGCAGCTTATTGTGAAGTACAAGCCAAAAGAATGTTCTTGTTCTCTGGGGCCCTGCAACCCGCCAAACCTTCTTCCAAACCGGATGGGATTGGCCAATGTCCTCCTCCTCCCGCAAGAGTTCGCAAGCCGACTTGATAGTAAAGAGTCCATTAGGAGAGAGCCGCCAAACAGGGATGTCGGGCTCTTCTTCGTACGGGACTGGGTGGAGCGACAGTTGCATAACCAAGGCCTCGGGCAAGAAGGCACGAATGAACGGGAGATTCCATTCCCCATTGAGAACTAGGTCAGCCACCGTGAGATCCCTTGCCGCCTCAGGGAGATCTTGCGCAAACTCGGCTAATGGTGGACCGTCCTGGAGCCAACAGTCCTCCCAAAATCTCATCTGCAACCCACTCTTTATATTCCACATCATCCCTTTTGGTAAATGATGAAGGACCTTTAGAACACCCCGCCACAAATTCGAAAGCCGCCCCTCGGTTCTTGGCTGCCATCCTCCGTCAGTGCGCCGCAGATACTTACTACGCACAACACGTGCCCAAAGAGAGTCAGCCTCTGTCATTAATCTCCAGGCAATTTTCATCATGAATGCTTCGTTCATACGGGTGGCACTACGCAGACCCAAGCCGCCCTCCTCCTTTGGTTGGCATAGTGTATCCCAGTCCACTAGATGTATCTTCCTTCCCTGATCAGAGCTCCCCCAAATAAAACCTCGGATCTTCTTATCAATATACTCGCGAACAGAAGCCGGGAGTAGCAATGTCTGCCTCGTATAAGCTGGGAGAGAGGATAGGACCGACTGTGCTAGAGTAATCCTCCCTGCCAAAGACAAGGATTTAACTTTCCACCCTGCAAGCCTCTTGTCAATCCGGTCAATGAGCTCTGTATAGGTCGCCTTGGATACCCTGTCATGGATCACCGGAACCCCTAGGTACCTCCCAAGATTAGCAGTTGTCGGGATATTCAAAGCATTGCTGATCGCATCCCCCTCCGCTACAGTAACATTCTTCGAGAAAAAGACACGTGATTTGGGTCTGCTAACTTGTTGCCCTGATGCTGCTCCAAACTCCTCTAGACACCGTAGTATCACCTGGACCTGCCTCATCGAAGCCACACTGAACAAGATGAGGTCGTCAGCAAAAAATAGACGGGACAATGAGGGCCCGTTACTCGAGATTCTTATTGGTTCCCACTCTCCCTGTTCCATCGCTGCCCTAATTAGATGCCCCAGCCTTTCCAAACACAGGGTAAATATGTATGGTGAAAGCGGGCAGCCTTGGCGAAGACCCCGGCTCGGTGTAAAGCCCTCCGTAAGCCCTCCGTTCCACTGGATCTGCATAGAAGGAGAAGAGATACAACTCATAGTAATGTCAGTAAAACTCTGTGGAGCCCTGACTGCCTACAGGGTGTCTCACACGAAGCTCCACTTAATCCGGTCGTACGCCTTGGCAAGGTCAATCTTGAGAACCATCCAACCAGATCTCCCTTTCTTTGCCCGCATCGAATGCACCACCTCCTGCAAAATACATATGTTATTCGTTATGTGCTTTCCCGGGACGAAGCTCGTCTGCGTCTCATGCACCAATCGTGGCATGAGAGGTTTGATCCTCTCTGCCAAACATTTCGTGATCATTTTGTATGTAACATTGCAGAGGCTAATGGGCCGGAACTGATCAATAGATGCCGGCCTGGCCACCTTCGGGATGAGAACCACAATCGTCATTGATCTCTTTCACCTTTGACGGTTGATTCCAGCAAGCTTGCACAAACTCGGCTACCGCTGGCCCCACGAGCTCCCAATTCCGCTGGTAGAATAGTGGGTTCAGCCCATCTTTGCCCGGGGCCTTCATCGCCCCCATCGCCTTTACCGCCCCAAAGATCACCTCAGTCGAGAACTATCCGCCAAGTGGTGCCTAGAGCTCCGGAGGCAGGCTGCAAAGTACTGAGGGGGTTATTATCATCAGTGTACAGCTCCTCATAGAACTGCCTCGCCATGTCAAGAAGCAAGTTTTGGTCATCCACCCACTCCCCTGCAAAATTCTTCAAGGCAGCCACTCTATTTCTCTGTCTTCTACTAATGGTTCTCGAATGGAAATGCTTGGTATTACTATCCCCATATGCAATCCACTCCAACCGCGATTTTTGATACCAAAGCATCTCTTCCTGAAGTAAGACGGATTCCAGTTCAGCTCTAGCCTGGACAAGCCTCGTGTCGTTCGAGTCTCCCCCATACCGCAGCTCCAGACGCTTAATTCGACCGAGTAGATCATTTTTCTTTTTCATAATGTTTCCAAAGACATTCTTATTCCATTGTTTCGCCTCCTCCGTGAATTCAGCAATAGAACTAGCAAGGTCTGTGCCACGCCCCCAAGCACTGGTCACCATATCTTTAAAGCCCTCATGCAGTAACCACGCCGCCAGAAACTTGAAAGGTTTATGTCCCGCAGGTTGAAACAGAGGGTTGAGGTTGATAAGAATGGGTCGGTGGTCACTTCTGAGTCGTGGCAGGTGACTAATAATCGTGTCAGGGAAGGCTGAGTTCCAAGCGGGGTTAGCAAGCCCCCTATCCAGTCTTTCCTTCAAGCAGGTGCGGAACCACGTAAAAGGTGGCCCTGAGAATCCCATGTCGAGCAACCCCGCATCTAACACACAATCCTGGAAGTCCCTAGCTCTCGCAGCATCAAAAGGTGTGCCACCCAACTTATCTACCGGTTGGAGAATCGAATTAAAATCTCCCGCTAATAACCATGGTTCAGTTACTTCCTCCGCTATCCTACGAATAGCTGTCCACAGTTCCCGACGTTGTATAAGCGCCGGGTTGGCATAAACCGCCGTGAGGAGCCAACTCTCCTGCCCACAGTGCACCCTGACATGGAGAAATTGCTCCGCTCTATGCACTTCAGTGATTGTAACCATACCTGAGTCCCAGAGAACCCAAATACCACCGGACTGTCCTGCTGCATCCACAACAAGCTGCTTATCAAACCTCATCTCTTTGATCACCTCTTCCGCCTTATCCCCGTTAATTTTAGGTTCAACAATAATGACAATAGACGGTCGATACTTCCTTCGATACTCCCTAAACACTCGCAAGAAGCGTTTGCTTCCCGCTCCCCTACAATTCCACGTAAAGATCTTAATCATCGATATTGCGGAAACGTAGGACCACCCCAGAAGTCGCGGAAACGTAGGACCACCCCTATACAAAAAGGTACTAATAATTGTACTTAAGATAAGTCCAAGGTGGTAGATCCAACAATGAAACCGCAATAAAAATTGTTAATTAAGGAAAAGGTAAGGTAGTGATAGGAAATAATAATGAAATAAAAAAAATATATATAAGAGAAGGATAACGCCTACACGCGCCAAGAGTCCCCAAATACTTTACTCGTTTACCTTCGGCGGATGAGGATGAAAGACACGTGTTAGCTAGCGGGATGCCTCGCACGCATGTACAGACACGTAATGCCATCGCTGGCAATAAGCGAAACGAAGAATTGCGGCCGGCGACGACCACCTGGAAGGCCTAGCAGGTGCTGGAAGAAGCTGAGAAACTCAGGTGGCTGACAGTAGCGTAGCGCAAGGCCGACCGAAAACATGCGGAAACTGCAAAAGAAGTAGAAGTGATTATGATTAGTAGAGATAAGGGCCCCTACTGGCAACGTCACACAAGGCGGCGATTTCAAGTCCGATGGAAATTAAATCGCCCCCAAATCTAAAAAAGCTAAATAAATGGGAGACACGAAAATTCTTATACACAGCTATAGGTGTCAAAACATAGCCCGACCCGATTAACCCGCCCGATCAACCCGACCCGCAACCCGAATTGACTAAAAGTCAACAACCCGTAACCCGCTCGACCCGCAACCCGATTGACCCGCAACCCGATTAACCCGAACTTGATTGACCCGCAACCCGATCAACCCGAATTTCATCTAATCCACTTGAATAATTATAAAAATATACAACACATAGTTTTTCAAAATAAAGTTTTTCATTCTAAACTTAAGTAAAATTATTTTTTCATTTCGTATAAGAAATTTTAAAAATATGAAACTCACTTGATATTACGTATTTTAAGAAAATTACAAAAATTGAAACATGAAGGTAACTTGAGATCATGACAATATCAATATATTATAAAATTAAAATTTTGGTTAATTTAACTATTCAATAAAATTATCAATTAAATATAAATAAAGTAAAGTAATGTATTTGGTAATTTGATGTTTTTAAAAGAAGAGGGAAATTTGGTTCTTTGAATTTTTTAGAAAAGAAACAAGTGGGAATTTTGGTGGTTTTGATATGTGGGAAGATAAAGAAGTGAGAAAGTTTGATTCTTTTGATTATGAAAGAGAAATAAGGAGGAAAACTTTTGACTTTTCAACTTTTTGTAGAAGGAAAGAAGAGGGTAATTTGTTTCTTTCAATTTTATGGAAGAGAAAGAGGAGGGAAAATTGAGTTTTTCTAATGTATGGAAGGAGAAAGAAGGAGATAAATTTTAGTATTTTTGTGAAAAGAAAGAAGGAACCAAATTTGGTGTTTTCAATTTTTTGGTTTTTCATAATTTTAGCTTTTGAAATGTGAATCTTTAACTTTTATATGGAGGGCATGACTAGTTAAAATTATTCTTATATGCTTTGAAGGCTAATATGTATATATGTATGTAATTTTTTATGGGCTAATAAATAAATTAACCATTAGTTACAATAATTTATACTAAACTTGATAAGTAATCTTTGATGGTTCGTTGTTTAGGATATAAAGTATATGGTTAGGGTATAAGGTATAACCGTATAAGGTACATATGGTTTAGGGTGTATATGGTTAGGGTATAAGATATTGATGGTTTTGACGGTTCTAAATTTTTTATTAACATATGTTCACTTGAAGTCATTTGAAGTCTTTAACGGTAGGAGATCCCTTTTTAATTTATGTTTATGGTACGTGGTTAGGGTACAAGGTATGTGGTGTAAAATATAGGATATATGGTTAGAGTATAACAATTAGCAAATATCACTTTTTATCTATGTTTTGAAAATCAAAGTATGAATTTCACTTTTAAATTAACTATACTAGCAAAATCACAACTCAAGGACATATGATTAGGGTATAGGTTATGTGGTTAGTGTATAATGTATTGATGGTTTAGGGTATAAAATCAACAACATATACTAACTTAATATTGTTGATTGAGGGTAAAGCTAAGTGTACAGGATATATGCTTCTTGAGTAAGTTATGATTGAAGTCACAATAATTTTACTAAATTTGATAGCTAATTTTTAATGGTTCAATTTTTTAGGATAATTCGAACAATTTTACAAATAACTCGTTTGGCAACAGTTTACTAAAGTTATTTGGGCAATGAGTTATTTTGAAATAACTCCTTTTATCACTATGCTTTTGCCAAATACCACACGCCAAATACCAGATTTGCATGATTATACTAAACGAGATACTTTCATCCAATTACTACTGAATTAATACTAAAATATCAAATAAACAATTAACGGTGTCTTTTGGTTGCAGATATTGATATCACCATTACTATTAGCTATAATACTTTACCAATTATGATTAATTACATAACAAGTTTGCAAGTCATACAAATTGATTTAACATTTTGACTAGTTTTTTTCAAAAAAATAAAGTATATATATACGAGGTAGAAATAAATTGGTTAAAAAGTTGAGAAAATATTATAAATTAGTGTAATAAAATTTGTAAGTTGGTAATGAGTAATGAGTTAAGTTACTTGATGCGCTGGCCCGAACAACCCGAAACCCGACCCGCCCGACCCAAAACCCGATGAACCCGCAACCCGATTTGCCCGCAACCCGATTGAATCCGAACCCGATGAACCCGCAACCCGACTAACCTGCAACCCGTTTGAACCCGAACCCGATGAACCCGCAACCCAACTAACCCGCAACCCGTTTGAACCCGAACCCGATTGAACCCAGCCCGAACCCCCCCGATTGACACCTATATACACAGCCGAGCCGACGGCGGCTGAGGAGGAGAAGGAAGCAAACAGAATGCTGTGGTCATGGTAGGGGATTGGCGGCGGGAGAGGTCGAGAGCTGGTGGGAAATTCTTTTCAAAGCCTCCTCCACCTGCGAATTCAAATAACCCAAACAGCAACTGTGAAGTCGGCGACGGGAGCACCCCTTGCTGTTGCTGTTGCTGTGATACAAGGGGAGCCAGGGGCGAGAATCCAGAGAAGTGCTTGTTATTAGGATCCAAATAAGGGAGGGAGGGAGTTGTGGAGGTAGCACTGCACATGTAAGCGGAGACTGGTGACTCGGCGGCCACGTGGACTGCCGGTAAGAGAGACAGGGGAGTGGGAGGGCGGTGTGGTTTCTGCTCTGCATCCCTAATTCCCTATTCGTGCTGGTTTTTCAAGAGCTAACGAAAACATTCGCTTGGCATTTTTTTTTATATAGAAAGGCGGTGGCTCAGGGCGGCCTAACTCGTATTAACAACTAACTAACGGGAAACTCTCATAACATACGTTTGACTTTGACACAACATTCGCTGTCATTCCGGCAATGAGCTCTTCCGTTCTCAAACTTCTTCTCAATTTACTCGAATTCTCTCATCTGCACAAATCCCTCAACTTTATTCGACAGTGTCACTCTCGCATTTACCCTCTTGGCTTCGCCCAGAACCCGTTCTTGGCAACCAAACTCATCTCCCTGTATGCTCTCTGTGGCCTCCCAACTCAGTCACAACTCGTTTTTGGTTTGCTCCCAGACAGGAGCGTGTTCCTCTGGAACGCAATTATCAACGCGTACGTGAAAAATCGAGCTTATGGCCAGTCTTTTGCTTTGTTCTGCGAGATGTGTCGTGGCTCTGTGTCGCCTGATGATTACACCTTGGCAACGATGTCGAAAGCGTATGGGGAATCAAGAGACTTGTATGCGGGGAAAATGATTCATGGGAAGACTATGAGAATTGGGTTTGTCTGTTGTACCGTTGTAGCAAATTCTCTTATGTCCATGTATAGTAAATGTGGGGAGCGCAAAGAATGCTTGAAACTGTTCGATGAAATGCCGCTGAGAAATGTGACTTCTTGGAACATTATTATAGCTGGGCATGCAGACCAAGAAAAAGGTAGTTTGGTGCAGGAGATGTCTCGTGTGGTCAAAGATATGGAGAATGAGGGATTAAAGCCTGATGCATTTACAGTGTCTAGTCTTCTGGGTTTGTGCTATGATGATCACTGCAGCCTGGACTATGGGAGGGAACTTCATGGGTATCTATTACGGAACGAATTGGGTAGCAGCCTGGCTTCAGATGCTCATCTGGGCTGTTGCTTAATTGACATGTATTCAAGGAGCAACAGAGTTGATATAGGGAGAGGGGTGTTTGATGAAATGAAGAATCGGAATGTTCATTCTTGGACCGCACTGATCAATGGTTATATGTTAAATGGAAAGGTGGAAGAAGCTTTATGTCTTTTGCGTCACATGCAGGTCGGAGATGGATTAGAACCTAATAGTGTATCGCTTTTGAGTGTTCTTCCAGCTGGTAGCTCACTTGCTGGTTCAAGTTTTGGGAGACAAATCCATGGATATGCGATTAGAAAGCAATTAAATTATGATGTTTCTTTAGGCAATGCTTTGCTGGACATGTATTTGAAATGTGGGAGCTTGAGTTACGCAAGACGAATCTTTGATGATGTTTCTTTTCCTAGAGATGCAATCTCTTGGAGTTCAATGATTTCTGGGTATGGGTTGCATGGGAAAGGAGAAGAAGCTATCTCCCTATACTATAAGATGCTTCGTCAAGGATCTAAACCAGACATGATAACCATAGTTGGTATTCTTTCTGCCTGTGGGAGGTCGGGGTTGGTAAAGGAGGGCCTTCATCTCTATTATGCTGCTGTATATGAGTATGGGCTGGAGCCAACAGTTGAGATCTGTGCTTGTGTGGTTGATATGTTAGGAAGATCAGGCCAGCTTGATGAAGCACTAGATTTCGTCAAGAAAATGCCAATAGAGCCTAGTCCAAGTGTTTGGGGAGCTCTTGTGAGTGCTTCCACAATGCATGGAAATTCTGAGATGCAGGATCTAGCATACCGATCCCTTGCACATTTGGAACCGGAAAACCCATCAAATTACATCTCTCTTTCAAATGTGCTTTCTTCTTCCATGAGATGGCATGAGGTTGCTGCTATCAGAACAATGATGAAAGAAAGGGGGTTACAAAAAACTCCAGGTTGCAGTTGGATAAGCCTTAACAATGGAACCCACAGTTTTTATGCCGCTGATAAGGTCCATCCTTCTACAGAGCCAATATATGAAATGCTGCAAGGCCTCATCTTGGTGATGAGAGAAGCTTCTGATTCTCTTAGTATTGATGATGTTATGTGTGTACATTGAAAATTGATCACGGTTTTCTGCATTCTTGTTCTCCAATGAATGATGGCATCTTGAATTATCACAAGACAGTTGAGGCTGACTTGTGGTTCTGTGATTGTTGCTGGGACATTGTTCTTCAAAAGTTCGTCTACTGCAGTCTTCTTCTCGATAAATGATTTCAACTCCAAAATTTAAGAGAGTGGATTAGATTTTTTCATTCCTATTGCTGCTAGATTTCAAGATACGTCTACTGCTGTTGCCTCTAATAATTCAATTATGTAGTAAAAACAATAGCAACCTAAATTTAAGCATATAGTGATTTTATAGCTTGAGAGTTACGGGGAACATATAGTTTGCACAGGATGCGACACAAAATCAGAAAGATTGTTCGAAGAATGTGCATGTATTTGAAGAAAGTATGTACTTCGTGGTATATTTTAATGTGGCCTGAGTTTGAGGTTGCGGAAGCTTTTGTTATTGTTGAACATTGCTGCGTTGCAGGTTTTCTTTCACTCAAGGAAATTGGCGAGGTTGATATTTTTTGTTCTCTTTTGATTCAGGTGATCCCATTTTTCATTAATGATTGAAAGACTTCCTCAGGCGAGTCCGAACACCTTAACCACTTGGGTTACAACCTTGTTGGTTGACGAGGATGATTATGGGTTGTTGATTCCAAAATGTCAGAATCAGAAGCCTGATACTGTGATACTGGTGTGTATTTGAGAGTGTAGAGGATAAAAAGAAGAAAAGGAAGCAGAAGAATGAAGAGACAACGGATGCAAATGTTCCGCAAAATGGCTGCTGCTTCTTCATGCTCTTGCTTCTGTAATCCTCTTGGTTGGGGTCCTTCATCCATCACACTTGGCAATGAAAGTTGATGGACACCATTGTCTTGTTTCACCGGGGCGGCATATGGTTGGTGGTTCACCATTGTCCTGTTTAGCCCTAAAAATAAATTTGTACCAGATTGATTATTCTCAAAGTATTAGTTATCTTTATACGGTCAGATCAATAATAACAATTAATGTACTAGATTTTTAAGCCCAAACCACTAAGTCTCCCGGAAGGAATTAATCTGGTCGCGAGTTGAATAGACCAATGTGGTCGCGAGATCTAGACACGTTGGCGTCTGGCCTAATAGCTCGTCTTACCATGGTAGGGGGACACAAGTAACAAGACGTCAGTTCCAAGTTGGCGGTTAGCAGGCCAATTGCCGATTATCCTACGTTCAAGGACACGTCAGCCACGTCCAAAGAAGAAGGGAAACAATTCTTTTTGGAAGTTAGTCTCCAGGCGGTTTTATACGACGGTTACCACTTTAAGGATATAAATAAGAGGAGGAGTTGACTGTGAATGGGTTCGCCCAATTCACACCAGACAACCCAATGTAAAATTTTATCCTTTTCTATGCAATTTTAGTCGTAGTCGCTGATCTGGAGCTCTCACAGAACCTTTATAGGAGTAGGGTAATTTAATGTAGATTTGGTCTTGTGAGTCGTGTAAACATCGAACACCCTCGTTCGAACTTTGTTAGAAGAGGTGTTAACCGTGTTAAGTTGATCATTGTCCAAATAAGTCAAGGTGCAATCAATCTCAACATGAACTCCACGAGCGGGCTGCTTTTCTTACTGGCCGGGACTGACACGACCCTATCCTTTTTGAAAACCAAACCACAACTCAAACCAAAACCAGTTACTCCGGAGCAATCCAAACCACATTTTAAAATCAAAAAACTGACATTATTTAAGAATTTTTAACGAAAAGCCCCAACACTTGGGCAAAATTCTCAATCTCAAACACTTAAAACGACTTAACACAGAATCTCCAGTTTATACTAATAACCATGAAACAGAATAATTAACTAATCTAACTTGACTCCTCACGAGCTTTCCGATATCCTGTCGACATGGTACTGCTGCTCGCCTCGTCCTGCTTCTTCTCGCGATCCACTTCTGCTAGACTATCCTCAACCTGGTGAGTGAGAAGGGGTCAGTCTCTTTGTTACTTCCTAACGTCTTTGCCCTAGGAAGACTCCTTGCTAAACACATTATTAGGGGAAATGCCTTCCTAGCATGAAAGTCGTTCTCGCTTTCTGCTCTTAAATAACCATTCTTATCAACTCATTTCAACATTAACTCATAAAGTTCTCGACTTCTATCCTTATCTCAACACAAAACTCTAGGACCACCGCGTTACGTCTCCCCGTCCGTTGTCCTACCCTAGTATGCCAACCGCGTTACGTCTCGCCGTCCGGTTGCATACCCAAACTCGGCAATGGCACTGCGTTATGTCTCGCCGTCCAGTCCATGTCTGTCAACTACTGCGTTATGTCTCGTTGTCCAGTAGTGACCCAACCGCCCGGGGGTTCCTCATACCATCAATCCTTACAACATCACAAACATTCATACATAGCACAACGCGTGCCTCCACCCTTACAGGCGATGGGATGCCTCACACACATATCGCGCATACTAGAAAATTAACTAAATAATAACTTGAACGAAATGCGGAAACTAAAAGACCTACGACAGAGATTTTATCCCCTTCACACTCACCTCTTTAGTCGCATCGACGTCTGCATTCTCACGCTCCAGCCCCGCGCATTTTTCCTCTTTTGGCTCCTCCTCTATCGGTTAATCGTCTTCCTCTTCAACGACCCTAATCATTGGAGCTCCGCCGCCATTCTCTTCAAGGTCCCTCCTCGGGCCACAATTCATCGGCCAACTTCGAACTGCCGACACCCTGGGTCGTCTGGGAGGATAGGGTCGGGGCCTCTCCATCACTCTACCCCCGCCAATTGCGATCACCGATGTCGAGTTCTGGGCCTTCCTTCCGCCTCTAATAGACGCGACTCTTCCCCTCCTACTAATCGGTGTGAACCTCTTCATCATGCGAGACTACGAAGTTCGATCGGCTGCTAACTTTCTCGCCTTCTTTCCCTCCTTAGCCGGATTATCCCAAGAAACCTATTAATAAGAAATTCATACTATAAGACAACCTTTCTCGATTTAAAAGCCTCTTTTTTATCTACCCAGACACCCTCTACTAAAATTCCCCTCCTCAAACCTCACTCCAAAAGTCCTTTAACCCCCATTAAATTTTTCTAGAATTAATCCCTTAAAAAACGACCATTTTTCCTAATTATTTTAGTCTTGGACGAATTTTTCACCTAAATAGAACCTTCTTATAATTTTGGAAAATAATTTTTCCAAGTCAATCATGAGCACCTATACCCTGGAAAATTATCAAACCCTTAAAAATCCCTCGGAAAGGTTTTTATTTAATTAAAATGAATATTAAAACAATTTTTAAAAATAGAAATACATCTTTGAAAATCCCCAAATTAAATTACAGTCATCTCTAGATGTCGCTCAATTTATAAAATTGTTTAATTCAGAAAAAAAACTTCAGAGAGGCTCGAAACAAATTAAAACATCTAAAAATACGCTTCTGGAAATTCCTAGCAGCTTTAGTAACTAATCAAAATCTGTCACTAAAAGCCTGTAACGGCTGTTGCTAAAAACCCAGAATTGCACCCTAACAAAAAATCCACAAATTAATCGACCTAACTCAAAGCGATCGAGTTTCCTTACCTCTAGAACGTGCCAAGACAATGGTGTCTCAAACGTCACCGCTAATAAAATATGAGCTTCGGATTAGACTATCGATAAACCGAGTTTAGCAATCGCGAAGGGGTTCGTGATCCTTACCTAGAAACACGAGAGGGATGGGATCGAGATTGGGATTGGGATCGGGATCGGGTGCAACTCCTTCTTCTTCTCCTCTCGCCGCACCCGCGTTGAGAAGCACAGGGTGCTATTGTTGAAAGGGCCGCTCGGAAATAATTGGGAGGGGAATTTGGTGTTGGGTTTTTTTTTGGGAATTCTCTGCGCCTCCTGGGGAATATTGGCGGATGGGGGTTTTAAATGGGGAAGGGTTTTTGGCTGCTGGGGAATTATATGAGGGCCGCCCGGCCCTCTCGGCCCCCTTTTTATATAGGCTAATACTACGGTGCCGCTATTATAAGTGTGGCACCGGTTCCGCACGCTTCTGATTGGTCCACGTAGGAGTGACGTGGTGTTGGTTTCTTTTAATAAATGAGCCCAAACCCAATGGTTATGGGAACTGGCCCAAACCACCATTTGTCCAAAGTAACGGAGAACATTGATTTCGCCTTTTCCTACTTTCTAACCGTTTAGTGTTTTTCTCCATTAACTCGATTAATATTCATTTAACTGTTAAATGCATTTGGTTGTCGTCTTCCTCATTCCGCGATCCGTTTGACTGCAAGAAGAACAAACAGCGCCGATGAACTTTACCGTAGTCGATTCAATCCGAGTATGTACCATACGCTCCACTGAATTCCTCCTCTGAATTCCTCCTCCAAGATTCATCCCAATGTGCATACTGCAGTGTATTTGTATAGCTCATAGTTAATGGCAGTATCACCACTTGCGATAAACTAACGAAATGGGGGAAAGGTTTGAATGGATCTTGTGTGATGTTTGGTACAGGTATAGACTCTTGGACTCTTGTGAGCATTATATGAGTGTGTTAGTCAAGTCAGCGGCTTTGCAACAATGGTGAGTGGTGACCTAGTTTGACAGCAGCTAGCAGTTCGGCAAATTGGCCTTTGCTGTTAGGAAAATCTGCAGCATCCTATGGTGTTTGCTTGTAAGCCAGGTGTGGGATGAATGGTGCTGTCATTTTCATGGTGAAGCTGGTGGGTTCGTTGCGTGGGTCCGTTGCAATGTTATTGACTAAAATTCCTCAGGATCTGCAGCTCTTTGCATCGGTTAAGGGAGGAATGGCAGAAAACTTTCTACGTTCCTCGGGATCTGCAGCTTTTTGCATCAATTAAGGGAGAAATGGCAGAATTCCTTTCTTAGAGTTGTTTAGTTTACTGCTTGAGAAATCGTTTCCGCAGTATAGGGGGTGTAGGAATTCTATAAAGATCATTGGTTCTTAGGGTGTGCACTTTGCACTTCCCTTTTCAATTGAGCTATAAACCCCTAACTACTTCAACGAAAGAAATGCATGTTAAAGACTGGAGAGTACCATTTGAAGTATTATTAACTAACTGAAAAACTTTACAAACTAAATAGTGTCAGCTCCTGCAAGACTAAGATTCGGTAAATAATTGTAGCTCCTCCTGCAAATTGCCGGCCATGTAATGAAGTGAAGTGTGTTTGTAATTTATATGCAATGTTATGTCGCACCATCCTTTCTATTATTGGTTTAGAAAGGTCGTTTCATGTCACTCCACTTGGCAGGAAATGAAAGAATCAAAAGGCAAGGCGAACCTTGGGATCTTGAACAGGGTATTCATCGAGTAAATAAATGCCACAGTTTGAACTCAACACTGGTACATGCTAGCAAGAAATAAGAAATGTCCAAAGATCATACATCCACTTCCAACACACTGCAAAGTTATATGTATTTGTTGTTGTTAAATTGTTTATACTCTTCAAGAATGAGTCGGTTTATTTCACCAAATTTTTTGAACATGAAGTTCAGCTGGGGAAAGGAACAGGCTCATTACCCCCAAAGATCGAGTACAACCAATCAAAGACAAAGTCCATAGGCAACAAGAACACAATACAACAAATCAAAAACTATCCACCATGAAGAAACTCGAGTGCAACTAGACCCCTTGCAATTTGCAGCTTTCTTGCAGCAATACTTATCTTGTTAATACATGCGCATTGGACTGTCAACTTCCTCAGCTGTACCATAGAAAAATTCAACACCTATTAATAGTTTCGTGTTGTGAGACTCTTCGACACCTTTCTTCCAAATGTGATAGAGGCAAGCTATCCACAAAACACAACCATTCCAAGTCAAGTCCAACGCTTGGTTAAGATTCATCTCGGCCCACCTAACTCATTGCAGGAATCTATAAGCTTGTCAGCAGACAGCAGTGATGATGCGATTCTGAGCAATAATCAAGCAACAAATGGATTCCTCGGAAGCCCCTCTGGTGGCCATATCAGGTTCTATGAGGATACTTGATAGACCGTTAGTTACACATGTTTTCACCCCTGTTCTTACACCGTTTGAGATGTGGTTTCTCGTGTTTTAGATCGATTTCACGCTAGGTTGTGCTTGTTTGTGATATTTCAGGTCCTGGCAAGTGAATGAAGGTTTAGGAGCGAGTTCGGGGTCGATTGGGTGAAGATCGGGCGCGAGACAAGTCACAAAGGAGGTCACACAGGCTGCCCTGATGTTCACACGGCCGTGTGAAGTAATGGCCTGGCCGTGCGTGTTTTGCCGAGAGCACACACGGGCAGAGCAGAAGATCGACACGGCCGTGCAAGTGGCCGGGTTGGCCGTGCCACATTCTGCGAGAGCAAACACGGGCAAGAGGGGATGTCCACACGGCCGTGCCATTCTGGCCGTGCAAAGAGCCTGGAATTCGAACTAAATGAAACGATGCGTTTTGACTCACACGGGCAACTGGGTGAGCTGCACGGCCGTGCCACCCTGGCCGTGTGAGTCGGGATTTTCTCCTTTTAAGCAGAATTTCAGCCACAATTCGGGAGGATTCGGGTTTTTGAGAAAGAGAGCGATTCCTAGAGAGAGAAAGTGACGAACAAGAGTCTCCAAGTGCCCTAGATTGATCATCAACACCATTGGAGGCCAGCTTGAGCTTGGAGAAGTGCCAATCAACGTCCAGAAGCAGGAATCCATCCTTCGCAGTATGAATTCCGTGTCTGATTCTGCTTTTGCTTTCTTCTCTATGGAGTAGTTCTCCCATTCATCTGGGTATGGAGAACCCTAGATTTGTATGTTAGGCTTTGATTGTATGAACCCAAGTACTGATTCTGTGATTGATTATATTCGATTGAGGTTTTAATGATTGAATGACTTGAATCCTGATCAAATTCCTGTTGTTTCTGCTTTAACCTAGAATGAGAATATCTGCCTAGGTTAATAGAGTATCCTTGATTGAAGGTAGGGAGTTGGTGACTTTAGTCGAGGAGCCAACTCACTATTCTGTACCGGATTTACCCCGGTAGTGGAGGTTTTGTTCTTAGGGCCTCAATCTGTCTACTCCGGTGGAGGTTAGTCGCCCGCTAGAGATTCAGATTGAGAGGGTCTGAAGACCTTTAGTCGAGACTTCAGGCTGTTTAAGAACCTTCCTCAGTATAACTATCATAGAAACTGAACTTGGTAATTACAATCCGGCTTAACTGCAGTCTAGGGGGAACCATATCCGGGTGACCTCTCTTAACTTGAATACAATAGTTTACTTGCTTTGTTAGTTTGATAGTTTAGACTTGCACTCTAGTTTTATTGCTAGATAACAAGAACTCACTGAGTAGTCAGCAAATCTAGGACCCGGGTTGATAATTAAACCTAAACCCGCTATACTACGCTTTAGGAAGTGGTTACACTTGGCCAATTCCTGGAGTGACAGTAGAGTCGAGTCAAGTTTTTGGCGCCGTTGCCGGGGACGGCTAGGTTGTTGAAGAAAAGTGATTTCTGTTAATTTAGCTTTTCCTTTTGCTTTGTTTGCTTTGTCCCGCTTGTGCCTTCACGGGTTTGCTTGTTTGAGTGTGTGCAAGTAGTGCATGACCCGTAGCCAGTCAGGAGGTTTACTGCCGTTGAATCCAGAGATTGACCGCACCTGTCGCCAGCTCAGGAGACAACAGCGAGCTAGACTGGCTACGGAAGAGCGCATAGACGGCCACTTGAGTAGCGATTCTGAAGAAGAGCACGGGATGGACGGAGACTACAATCAGCACCAGGGGAATCCGCAGCAGGTTCCCCCGGTGAATCAGGTCCTGGGGAACAACCCCATACCCCAGGATCATGGAGTTCATCATCCACCGCAGCCGGGTCCCACCTTGGAGTACTACTACACTCCTCGGATTGCTGACATCCGCCCGGTCATCCTCTACCCGCCGATCCCAGCAAACAACTTCGAGATCAAGCCATGCTGGATTCAGCTCATCACATCCTCGATCCAGTTTCATGGTTTGAAGGATGAGGAGGCCAGGGTACATCTGTCCCGTTTTCTGCAGCTGACAAACGGGTTCAAACTGAACGGTGTTCCCGATGATGCGATCCGCCTTCATCTCTTCCCCCATTCTCTGGCGGGGAATGCTAAGAGGTGGTTGGAGACCCAGCCCCCATTGTCCATCACCTCTTGGGACGATCTGGCTGACAAGTTCGTGCACCGGTACTATCCGGCATCGAAGACTACAGAGATTCAGCGGGAGATCACTCACTTCCGCCAGGAGCTAGATGAGTCACTTCGTGATGCTTGGGAGCGGTACATGGGCTATTTCTGGCAGTGCCCCCATCATGGCTTCAGTGATGCATTCACAGTGGGGAACTTCTACAGTGCCGTTTCGCCAGATAGCCAGAGGGTGATTGAGTCTCTATGCCTAGGAGGGGATATTCTTACCAAGACTCCACCCGAGCTGAACCAGATGATCAGTACTTTGGCTGCCAGAGATCATTCTTGGGGACAGGGTAGCCGAGGCAGACAGTCCCGGGACCGTGGTGTGCACGCCATGGAGACCAGATCCGAGCTCGAGCAGCAGGTAGCTGAGCTAGTGCAGACATTGAAGCACCCCAACAGTCTGATTCCGGGCAGAGGTTTGGCTACACCTCCAGTAGCTCAATGTCAGTGGTGTGAGAGCTCCAATCACCTAGTGGAGGACTGCCAGGCTATGAGGGAGTCTACCACACCCCAGGAGCAGTTGGCCTTCATCGCCAATGCGAGGCGCCTCGATCCATACAGCAGCACATATAATGAGGGGTGGCGCCAGCATCCCAACTTCGCCTGGAGCAGCAACACCACTAAACCACCTGGTTTCCCAGCACCAGCAGGTGGTTTTCAGCAGAGGCAGCCCTTCCAGGCTCGCCAGGGGCCAGACCCACAGCAGCCCTCCCAGCTCAGGCAGGGGCAGCCATTCCAGCAGCCCCAGCGCCAGTTTGCCAAGCCAGCAGCAGCTCCAGCCCCAGATGACAGGATGACGAAGCTGGAAAACATTCTAGCTTCATTCATGACGAGCACCCAGGCTGCTATCACATCACTGGAGGCAGGTCAGCGGAACCAGGGTGCCAATTTGCAGGATCTGCAGACCCAGGTGGGCATCTTGGCCCGGCAAAACACTACCAGGGCACCGGAGACTCTGCCTGCCACCACTGTTCCTAATCCTCGAGATCCTCACCAGCATCAGCAGCTGGATGCCATTTTTATCAGGAGCGGTAAGACCATATCTGCTGATCCTGTCCCGGCCAGACAGGAGGAACCACTGCCTGCTCCAGCACTTCCAGCCGACGATGCAGAAGTGCGGGTGGAGAAGGAAGCCCCTGCTCCCAAGCCACAACCAGTGGTTAAGGAGCATGTACCCCAGCTTCCCTTCCCCACTCGCTTACACAAGGACAAGCTGGAGACTGAGTTTGCCAAGTTCATGGCAATGTTGAAGCAGCTCAACATCAGCATACCGTTCATGGAGGCACTGTCGAAAATGCCCAAGTATGCCAAGTTCATGAAAGATATCTGCACCAACAAGAAGAAACTTGGGGATCTTTCGACAGTGATGCTCAGTGAGGAGTGTTCTGCTATCCTGCAGAACAAGCTGCCCGAGAAGCGCAAGGATCCAGGGAGTTTTACTATCCCTCTTACTATTGGTAGCATGCATGTAGGAAAGTCCTTGGCGGACCTAGGCGCTAGCATTAACGTCATGCCATATAAGTTGTATAAAATGCTAGACCTAGGTGAACTTAGCCCTACTAGGATGAGCATTCAATTAGCTGATCGTTCTATCGTGCATCCTAAGGGTATCATTGAGGATCTGCTTGTTAAAGTAGGTACATTCACATATCCTGTTGATTTTGTTATTCTTGATGTGCATGAGGATGTGGATGTGCCTTTGATTCTAGGTAGGCCATTTCTTGCCACCGCCAAGGCACTTATTGATGTGCATGATGGTAAACTGATCTTGCGTGCTGGGAATGAACAGGCTACTTTTTCTGTGACTGAGTTTGATCACTGTGCTATGATTGCTGTCACGCCTGTGCATGCTATGTCTGATCAGGTACACGAGCCTGTCGTGTACCCTTCTGCACCTCCTATTTTGCAGGACCCTCCTATCATTCCTTCGCCGCCACTCCATCCAGCCTCGCCTCCGAACAAAAAGCTCAAGGAGGAGTGGCGGCCGAAGCAGCAGGTTGCTAAGCATGCACGGAAGAAGAGTGGAGACCGCTATGAGCTGGTCCCACCTCCTGCACCACGACCACCCTGGCCGTCTGGGTACTCACTCGCCTGCATCCTGCCAGATGGACAGGTCGAGCTGACTGATGAGGGTGGTCGCATCCGTCGGGTGCAAGGCCACAACCTGAAGCTGTACCTCAAGAGCGACGTGGATCCGCTCTTGGAGGCACCTGTTCCTGCACTGCCTTGAGTATCCACCATGGGCGTCCAGCTAATACGACGGTAAAGAAGCGCTTGTGGGGAGGCAACCCCACCACGGTTTGATTTTCTTTCTTGTGTTTTGAGTCGGATTGTAACCCGGTTTGGGTTTGGTTTGTTTTCTTTTGGTTTGGATGATATTTTATTGGGCTGACCATTGAACCTAACATATTGTGTTTGAGCTCTTCTGTTTTCCTTTGGCTGTGCTTGCCCTGACTGGCCCGTTTCCAGTCTCCTGCAGTCCATGCATACCGGTAACATCGTTTCCCTTATCCTTCCCTCTTCTCCATTGAGGGCAATGTCGAGCTTAAGTGTGGGGGCCTAACATATTGTGTTTGAGCTCTTCTGTTTTCCTTTGGCTGTGCTTGCCCCGACTGGCCCGTTTCCAGTCTCCTGCAGTCCATGCATACCGGTAACATCGTTTCCCTTATCCTTCCCTCTTCTCCATTGAGGGCAATGTCGAGCTTAAGTGTGGGGGGATGTTTATCTTTTGACTGCATTAGATCTGTTTGTGTGCTTGGAGCCTAGTCCACTGCCCAAATTTTTAAATTTGAGGGCTCCAAGTACGTGTTTCCTTGCAATTGCCTGCTCAGTATGCTTTGAATTGACAGTCTTTATAGTGATATGCAACCTAGGGAGGTAGTGTAGCACTATGGAGGATGTTGATGCATTTAAGAAGTCTCATTTCTTCTTCATATTGTGTTGGTTGATTGAGTGAATTAGTGATCTTAGGACCCTTGAATTGTGTGATGTTGTGGATTCTCTGCCTGTCATGGACTCTTGTATCATGTTTTGAGTTTAACAGGTGCTCGAAAATGTGCTTCAAAATAACGTCTCCCGTGCGAATAGGGCGAAAGTGTGTAAGGGGAGACGGGAATCCGTTCCCAATTTCCACCTACTACCTCCAGCCCCCTTACATGTCTTTCCCCCGCACGAGGCTCGAGACATCCGCTCCTGGCATGGCCGGTAAGAGCAGGTTGGGACCCTTGAAAAAAAAAAAATAACAGAAAACAAGCAAAACAGAAAGAAAAGGGGTTCCAACCATCTTCAAGAAGAAAAAAAAGAGAGCACCTTGAAAAATGTGAGTCCATGATCTTTTGTTTTTGAGAATCTCTTCATCCACAATTCATTTGTCCTCTGTTCACTATTTGCCATGATGCCGACTCGATACTAGTGCTCTTGCCGAAGAAACTATGAGATGACTTGTGCGTCGGTTGACCTCGTAAGCTGCTAAATGATCTAGGAAGTCCTCTACCTACGATCTGGGTTGTTTGTTGCTATAGAGGTCTGGAGAGTTGCATTGGTTTGAGTTAGGTTTGCTTGGGGACAAGCAAACGGTTAAGTGTGGGAGAGTTTGATAGACCGTTAGTTACACATGTTTTCACCCCTGTTCTTACACCGTTTGAGATGTGGTTTCTCGTGTTTTAGACCGATTTCACGCTAGGTTGTGCTTGTTTGTGATATTTCAGGTCCTGGCAAGTGAATGAAGGTTTAGGAGCGAGTTCGGGGTCGATTGGGTGAAGATCGGGCGCGAGACAAGTCACAAAGGAGGTCACACGGGCTGCACTGATGTTCACACGGCCGTGTAAAGTAATGGCCTGGCCGTGCGTGTTTTGCCGAGAGCACACACGGGCAGAGCAGAAGATCGACACGGCCGTGCAAGTGGCCGGGTTGGCCGTGCCACATTCTGCGAGAGCAAACACGGGCAAGAGGGGATGTCCACACGGCCGTGCCATTCTGGCCGTGCAAAGAGCCTGGAATTCAAACTAAATGAAACGATGCGTTTTGACTCACACGGGCAACTGGGTGAGCTGCACGGCCGTGCCACCCTGGCCGTGTGAGTCGGGATTTTCTCCTTTTAAGCAGAATTTCAGCCACAATTCGGGAGGATTCGGGTTTTTGAGAAAGAGAGCGATTCCTAGAGAGAGAAAGTGACGAACAAGAGTCTCCAAGTGCCTTAGATTGATCTTCAACACCATTGGAGGCCAGCTTGAGCTTGGAGAAGTGCCAATCAACGTCCAGAAGCAGGAATCCATCCTTCGCAGTATGAATTCCGTGTCTGATTCTGCTTTTGCTTTCTTCTCTATGGAGTAGTTCTCCTATTCATCTGGGTATGGAGAACCCTAGATTTGTATGTTAGGCTTTGATTGTATGAACCCAAGTACTGATTCTGTGATTGATTATATTCGATTGAGGTTTTAATGATTGAATGACTTGAATCCTGATCAAATTCCTGTTGTTTCTGCTTTAACCTAGAATGAGAATATCTGCCTAGGTTAATAGAGTATCCTTTATTGAAGGTAGGGAGTTGGTGACTTTAGTCGAGGAGCCAACTCACTATTCTATACCGGATTTACTCCGGTAGTGGAGGTTTTGTTCTTAGGGCCTCAATCTGTCTACTCCGGTGGAGGTTAGTCACCCGCTAGAGATTCAGATTGAGAGGGTCTGAAGACCTTTAGTCGAGACTTCAGGCTGTTTAAGAACCTTCCGCAGTATAACTATCATAGAAACTGAACTTGGTAATTACAATCCGGCTTAACTGCAGTCTAGGGGGAACCATATCCGGGTGACCTCTCTTAACTTGAATACAATAGTTTACTTGCTTTGTTAGTTTGATAGTTTAGACTTGCACTCCAGTTTTATTGCTAGATAACAAGAACTCACTGAGTAGTCAGCAAATCTAGGACCCGGGTTGATAATTAAACCTGAACCCGCTATACTACGCTTTAGGAAGTGGTTACACTTGGCCAATTCCTGGAGTGACAGTAGAGTCGAGTCAATACTTAATATTAGGTTATGCTTAATTCCCGCTTCAGTTTCATCCTTGTCTCGGCGGTATGCAACCGAGCACATACACCTGAGCCTGGAACCAGACAGCTGTAGCAATTTTCCCTGCCCCAAAAGGAATAAAGGTTAACAGTATGTAAATCATTCTCTCGGAAATAAATTTGACTCAGATGGCTGCAATTGGCTTGGCAACACAACAATGAGTCCTAAAGTCTAATTAAACACCATTGCACACTAGGGCAAGAACACAGTGTCAGCAGCATAGAAGTATAGACCACAAACTGAAAGTATAGAGTTTTTGCTCTAAGCAACTGTTTAAGAACCCACTTTGAATAGACTGCCTCTCTTTCTCTGGTAGATACTAGAGTTAAATCAGTTGAGAGAAAGTTCAACAATTCAAAGCAGAAATGCAAAAAAAGTTACCTAATTCCAGTCAGCCCAACAAGATCATGTCTTTAGAAGCTTAGATTCGTTGACTTCAGCAGTCAAGATTCACTCTTTCAATGCAACTGGCAGAGGTCCTAACTGTTTAGCTAATAGCTAAAACCGTTGCACTGGTTTCATTCTCACACTACTATTCTCAGCCCAGATTACAACAGTAATCAGCTGTAAAAAACAGATGACATTGATGGCAAAGAAAAGGCTAACATAATTATTGAACATATCCATAACCACTTTAGCTTCTTCAACTAGTAACAACTAAATCCCCCAAAACCAAATTTGTTTCTGTCATGAACTTGTAAAAAGAAAAGGCAGAAAGACAAGAGAACTGGCATTTTCCATGCTTAGTCTTCTACGTGAAAACCGATCAAAGGAGGAACCACATCAGACCACCAACAAAACAAGCCCCAAAAACCCAAATTCACTACAAGACCTACCAACTCAAACACTAGCCTCAATAAATCACCAAACATTAACAGCAGCCCACTGCAAATTACATCCTTCTCCACACTGCAAGCGATAAAGAGGTAAGGAGAAAACAAAAGCAGAACAGGGTTAGAGCATCTATTACCCTGCTGCTCGATAAACACAGAAAAACCAGAGGAAAAACACGGAACCGAGGCCCCTCTGCAACATCCGTGACTTTAACTTCAGAGGGAAAAGTGAACTAAAACGATATGAACCATTGTCCTACTTCCTCACAATATACACATTACTCGAATTACCTGAGACCTTTGAGTTTGGTGGGGAAAGTCGTATGCACCGCCAAGGAACTTGGTTTCGACGATTTACTCACAGAGACGATACAAAATTAAAAAGAAGAAACGAACTAATGCAAAAAAGAAACAACAAAAACGCTGAATATGAGAAGACGTAACAGTCGTTTTTCCGTCTGTTTGGGTGGATAATAGGTTTGGGTCGGTTAATGATCGAATGGTTTAAATTTGGGCTTGATTTTGTGAAAACACAGCCAGCTAGTGCCACATCATAGCCCGTGTGGACCAATTAGAAGCTGCGGCACCGGTGCCGCAGTTATAACAGCGGCACCGTAGCATTGACCTTATATATATATATATATATATATATATTATAGTAATAGTAATCAGTCATGGGATGGATTCACCAGAGATCGATTAGTCACTGAATCGATCCTCTCAATCAGTCTCTAGGGTTGCCTAGGTCTCTCCTTCAAACCTTAGTATGAGCGGATTAATCACGACCAACCTAGACGCAAACTTGAGTCAAGGGGGATGCTCATCTCTAATCTAGATAGTAGGCAAAAAGTGCCAGGAAAACCAAGCTTGTCAAGCCTACCTAAAAAGGTGTGGTTTTCCTCTAATCTAGGGTAGGGAAGCACACAAGATTTCGAAAGCACAACTAAGCACAATCACCATGAAAACACCTCTAATACTCAAATTGATGCAAACCCATACATAATCAGTCAATCTAAACAAGTAATTACAACGTATTAGTTAGGGATCTATAACACCCAAGAGAAAAGAGTGAGTTTCTAGAGAGAGAAGAGAGGGATTACAAATTTTTTGAGCTCAAGATCTTCTTCCTCTTCTCCTAGGCCTGAACCCTTGTCTTCAAGATCCACCCAAGCCTCCAATGATGCTCCAAGATTACTCTAGCAGTCTCTCTCTCTCTCTCTCTCTCTCTCTCTCTCTCTCTCTCTCTCTCTCTCAGACACACACACACACACACTTGAACTCCCCTTTGGTATTTTTTCTCCAAAAACCAGCTCTCCCTTCTCCAAAAGTCACCATTTTACGGACGCGTTGGCAAGTTCACAACCATGAACACCTAAATGCGTTCGTGAATTCAGTGTCGTCTCCAAAACGCACCACTTCGCTTCTCTTGTTCACTGTCATTGGCCCCAGTTCACGGTCTTAGCCACTATGAACTCCCTTGGCGTCAGTAACCTTCGAAGCCTCGCTGGAATGCTCGATGTTCACGTTCTTAGGAGACCATGAACTCCCTTGTTTGACCGTGAACTATGGCTCCTTCCTGGATGCCTGCACTTCACTGTTATGGGGTGACTTCGGACTTTTCTTTGGTTTTTGTGCTTTTTGACCTCCAATTATCCCAAAATTCAACCTCGGCCCTTCCACACGTGATAGGACCTGAAATGTAGCAAAACAAGACCAACCTAGCATGAAATATGTCAATGAACGATGAAATACTAAGCTAAACGAATAACAAATGAGGGGGTAAAATGTGTACATTTGGGCCCGAATCACTCCCCCACACTTAGATGTTTGCTTGTTCCCAAGCAAACCATTTTCAACCTAAGTAATATTTCAATCTTCAGAGATATCAAGGGGACATCTCAAATGACTATTTGGGCATTGACACTCGAACTGTCTCAAACAAATCTGGCATCCACCACTAATGACATTCAATTGCATAAAAAATGGGCAAATGAAAAGCTCTCATTCTATCCACAATCAATGCAAGTCTCAACCGGGACACTTAATCAATCACAACGGCCATGCTTAGAACTGAAGTCAATGGAACAGACAACAGGGCAACATAGTTCTTCACCGGAATAGAAATGAACATGCAAGAACAAGAATGAATCGCTCACTCTCGGTCAGCGGGGTCAGGACCGTTTTGGTGCAAAAGATGTGCACAATAGTCACCACTCATCCCTACCATCTCACCACCATGGCGGCAATCTCTAAACGCTAGAGTTCACGGGAAAGTTGTCATCACTAGCTTGTGTGGAGGTCTTAGACACGAGTTCAGACGACTGGCAATTGTCTTTGACATGGGGAAAAGAACTTTTGGGTGGTGGCAAACACAACATGAGGTTCTACATCTTCAATCTAAACCCGAAGGTTCTATGATTTCGACTAAGAACCTTCTCTACAAACAAAGGCCACCAGCACCGGCCAAAAGCCTTACTTCTCCCTTCCAAACGATTACCCACCATGAACTACATTTAAGTGCTCTTCCTCGGTCTTCTCTTGCTATAACCTTTCGATTTGGTAATGAAGGAGTTCAAAAACAATGTGGGGGTCTCAATGGCTTGGCTTCCAAGAAACCCCTCCTAGAGCATACACTTTGATTTTTGTGGCACCCTCTACTTTATTTACCCTGCTTTATTACCTCTTTTCGATTCCTTTCTCTTTTCTCTCTCTTTTTTTTTCTCTTTTTTTTTTCTTTTTGAGGGGGGTACTAGAGAGTTAAACACATGCCACCTACACATTTAATGACCAATGATCTCTTTTTAAGAACTCACTCCAACACTACACTTCATTTTTCATTCCATAAAGCTCATAAGCAAGAAGCTCCTAACATAATAACGACCCTCGAAGTCACAAGGCTTAAAGGGATTGACTAAGGGATAACATATTTTGGGACAATCAACATTTGGGCGTGGACTAATCCTATGCCTCCATCCTACTCGCTAATGACAACTGTGATGCTACACACCGTGGTAAGAGGGAACTATCACACTAGAAGGAAACGATCGACTCAAAACTCACAGGCTACCTAGCCGCCCAATCGTCTATTCAACATTCACAAAATCAATGCATGGAAATTGTAACCGAAGAGTAACCAAGTCAAGACATTCCATTCATTTAAGCATACATGAGAACTCAGCCTTCGCACAATCCTAATGCACTCTCAGTCTTCTTAATAGGATGCACTCGACTATATGAAACAACTCAAGAACATTGCCCTCAATGGCATAAAATAGGGAAGTAGAACGAATTACCGGATAGTGGTGAATGTTGGTGTTTGTGAACGGAGGGCGGGTGAGATCTGGAAGAGCAAAGAGCTGGCAAAACAAAAGGTAGACTTATTGAAGCCAAAAGAAAACACACCGTTGATGGTTGGGTTGCCTCCCACCAAGCGGTTCTTTAACGTTGTGAGCCGGACAGTTTTTCTTCAAGTTTCGGTCCACCCAAGAACCTTCTTGAACTTGAGGTTCTCGTCGGTGAGGTGATGTCTCAAGTCATGAGCATTGGACGAGTCCATGGTTGAGGGCTCGTGAAGAGTGGCGTTGAGGCTCCACCCACGAGACCTCTTCTTCTTTCTTTCTTACTTCTTCTCTTTTCCCCATACCATGTAATGCATCATCGATATACCCCCATCGCATCCACCAAGAGGGATTGCCGATGGTTTGCCCTTGGCTTGGCAAAGAACCGCAAATGGGTCCTTCTCCAAAAGCGCATCGAGGTCGGGTGGAAAGCTTTGTTCACACTTGTAACTTGTGTAACGACCCGATCCTTTTTGAAATCCAAACCACAACTCCAACCAGAAACCGGTTATTCCGGAGCAACCCAAACCACATTTAAAAATAAACAAACTGACATTATTTAAGAATTTTTAACGAAAAGCCCCAACACTTGGGCAAAATTCTCAATCTCAAACACTTAAAACAACTTAACACAGAATCTTTGAACCTTGGATCTCCAGTACATAAACTCATAATCATGAACAAAATAATCAAACTAAATCTAGCTCTAACTCCTTGCTATTTTCCCTGAGGTCTCATCCATGCTGGTGCGGCAGCTTGCCTAGCCCTCCCTCTTCTCGAGATCCGCCTCTGCTAAATCTTCCTTAACCTGGTGAGTGAGAAGCGGGCAGTCTCGTCGTTACTTCCTAAGGTCTTTGCTCTAGGCAAACTCCTTATTAAGCACATTATTAGGGGAATGCCTTCCTTAGACGAAAGTCATTCTCACTTTCGTCCTTTAAACTTTACTATCAAACAGTCTATAAGAGTTCTTTACTCCGATCTTATCTTTAGAATTTTTCTTACTTAAATTCTTAATCCAAAGACACCAACACAAGGGACCACCGTGTTACGTCTCGCCGTCCGGTGTGCCTACCCTAGTATGCCAACCGCGTTACGTCTCGCCGTCCGGTTGCATACCCAAACTCGGCAATGGCACTGCGTTACGTCTCGTCGTCCAGTCCATGCCTGTCAACTACTGCGTTACGTCTCGTCGTCCAGTAGTGACCCAACCGCCCGGGGGTTCCTCATACCATCAATCCATACAACATCACATACATTCATACATAGCACAACGCGTGCCTCCACCCTTACAGGCGGTGGGATGCCTCACACACATATCACGCATACTAGAAAAATTAACTAAATAATAACCTGAACGAAAAGCAAAAACTAAAAGACACACGACAAAGATTTTACCCCCTTTACACTCACCTGACTGTTAAGTCCGCTGGCTCGAGGTAGCACTACTCGTTTGTTTCCACGCTCTAATCCACATAATCCAATCTATCATCCATGCATATCAGCTCACGTAGACTCCATCCATGAGGTGGCCACCATCTTCTCGTAAGCTCCACCTCAAAGGGGATTTTAGTTCATCACTAACCTCGTGTAGGAGCTCAAAAGCTTGGATTCTTTCAAAGCTATATATATATATATATATATCAGGCTTACAATGCTTTGTGCGAAAACCACCACAGTTCATCCATTCCAATTGCCCACGTGAGTAGCTCTTATGATGGCAATTTTTTTATCTTGCAATCACAAGGTTACTAGAAGGAACATCGACATGCGAATCGGTCTCCGCAACCTTGATTTGGAAAGAACAATCGTAGACCCCTTCCTTGGAGGTCACCGGAAGCGAATTCTGGCGGTGCTCGATCTCCTTCTGTCTATTGATGCATTCGGTTCCGTGGCGGCTCCTCCTAATGCCGACCCAAAGGAAGATATTATATATATATATGCTTCGTACGTCTCCTCCAAGTACCTCGCCGATATCCATCGTCCACCCCTGCGATCCCACAACCATTGACTCCACCGCCTCCTTGCTTTCAATCGATGAGAATTGCCCTGCATGACCTTCTCAACAACCTGCCAGCGCTTCACTCCGCTACACCCGGCGTTGCTAGGTATTGCGGCTCTCAAATTTTTGAAGAGGTAGGGAATTGACGAGTCGGGGAAAAAAAATCTGGGTGGCGAGGTTTTCTTTTGCTGTGATGGGAAAAAGGGTTCTCCACCCTCTTGGCCGAGTTATAAATATAAATATAAATATAAATATATATATATAATTAATAATAATATAGTTTATATTATTATTATTATTATTATTATTATTATTATTATTATTAATTAAACCACGGTTGTAACCCTCCGTACGTAACCGTTGATCCAATCGTTCATGTATTATGGTCGAACCAGAATCCAAACATCGGGGTGTAACAACTTGTAGAAGCTTCATCCACCACGACCTCGTCTTCATCTTGGACCTCACTTGCTCCTTCTAATTCTTCCTCAACTTCCCTTCCTTCCTCAAAATTTGATTCCTCCCAATGGGAACACCCAAGATCTTCCTCCTCTTTAATGCTCACTTCCTCCTCTTCAACCACTTCTTCCTCCTTCCCATTCATGTCTTCAAGCACGGTTTGGAGGGCAAGATGTCATGCAAGCTCATAGAATGGATTCTCTTGCTCCTCCACACTCGTGTCTTGGTCTTCAAAGTTTCTTTCTGGAAGGGGAAGATGATGGGAGTCGTCAATGCAACCTTCTTGTTCATCCTCACCATGAGAGCTCTCTGGCGTGAGTTCCTCTAGCTCCACATGGTTGTCAATGAGCGCCACTTCAACCACCTCTTTCTCCTCCAATATTGAGAGGCGATAGCTTTCACAAGCTCGAGCCACTTTATCTTGTAGTGTCAAACCGGGAGGAGGGAGGGGTTGGAAATCCATTGTGGAGCTTGTTCTTCCAAAATTCTCATGGCTCGCCTCTTCGACTTCCTCTCTTTCTTCCAATTGGAGGCGATTGTGAGCAAGTTGTGCACATGCCTGCTCTACAAGCCCTCCTAGCCTCTCCGTGCATCGACGGAGCTCCTCCGCCTCCTGAAGAAAGGTTGAGTCGATAGGGTTGGTGATTGGGAGGTCCATGCTAGAGCATCCTTCATTGGTGCCCCGAACAAATCGCTCCACCATGAGCTCTAATTTTCTCTTTGGCTCCGGTTGTGGAGTGGCACATGGTCTTGAGGTTTGTCCCATGAAGGCTTCCATGGCCAACTCCAAATTGGATTTCTCCTCAAGATGTGGAGGGAAATCTTCTTGATATGGGGAAGCCTCTTCATACCACCAATGGTATGGTTGTTCTTCTTGGAAGGGGGTTGGTAATAGAACCCGGATTCTTGGCTTCCCCCTTCTTGTTCAATCCACGAAGCTCCAGGGTACCCCATTCGGGTGGTTGTGGATACCCCCACCTATTGTAGAAGCCATTGGGATCCATGATTCATAACCTACACAAACAAAAACACAAAAATAAAATCAAACAAACACGAACCACCCTAACTAGCTACCATGACTCGTTGGATCGAATGGAGTCTTGTGGTGTAGGTGGTTGTGAACCGCCAGGGTGAGCAACAAGTGCTCGAATTGTCATGAAATCAATTCACTAGCGATCGATTTGTCACGGGATCGATCCACTCACAAGGTCTAGGGGAACCGCTAGGAGGAGCAACTAGTGATCCATTTGTCACGGAATCGATCATCTCACTCAGTCTCTAGGAGTTGCCTAGGTCTCTCCTTCAAACCAGAGTTTGAGCGGCTTAATCACGACCAACCTAGATGCAAACTTGAGGCAACGGGGATGCTCATCTCTAATCTAGATAGTAGGCACAAAGTGCCTAGGAAAACCAAGCTTGTCAAGCCTACCTAAAAAGGTGTGGTTTTCCTCTAATCTAGGTTAGGCAAGCACACAAGATTTGGAAAGCACAACTAAGCACAATCACCATGAAAACACCTCTAATACTCAAATTAATGCCAACCCATAGAAAATCATTCAATCTAAACAAGTAATTACAAAGTATTAGTTAGCGATCTACAACACCCAAGAGAAAAGAGTGAGTTTCTAGAGAGAGAAGAGAGGGATTACAAATTTGAGCTCAAGATCTTCTTCCTCTTCTTCTAGGCTTGAATCCTTGTCTTCAAGATCCACCCAAGCCTCCAATGATGGTCCAAGATCACTCTAGCACTCTCTCTCCCTCTCAATAGAACTCCCCTTTAGTGTTTTTGGGCAAACCCAAGAGAGGGAATTGAATTTCTCTCCAAAAAATAACTCTCCCTTCTCTCTCCCTGTTGTTGTCTTCATATTTTCCCGAAAGTGACCAGTTCACGGACGCGTTGGCCAATTCACGTCCGTGAACACCTAAACGCAACCGTGAACTCAGTGTTGTTTCCAAAACGCACTGCTTTGCTTCTGTTGTTCACGGTTATAGGCCCCAGTTCACGGTCTTAGCAACCGTGAACAGACTTGGCCTCAATAACCTCCGAAACCTCGCTGGACTGCTCGATGTTCATGGTTTGTGGCCCCAGTTCACGGTCTTAGGAGACCGTGAACTCCCTTGTTTGACCATGAACTGCGGCTGCTTCCTGGACGCCTGCACTTCACTGTTACGGGGTGACTTTAGACTTTTCTTGGACTTTTGCGCCTTTTAACCTCCAATTTTTCCGAAATTCGACCTCGATCCTTCCACACGTGCTAGGACCTGAAGTGTATCAAAACAAGCACAACCTAGCGTGAAATATGTCGAGGAACGATGAAATACTAAGTTAACCGAATAAGAAATGATGGGTAAAATGTGTACATTTGGGTCTGACTCGCACGAAAATACACATCAATTTAATCGCGACTAGAGCCCAAGTTTTAAACTCTTGTCGGGTGCAGTATAGAGCAATTATTTAAATTGTCAACCCGGGCCGGTCCATGTACCCCTACTTCGATTGCTTAAGTTGTTATCTAGCAAGCAACTTTAGGGTTTAGGTTTATTGGAACTACAAACTAACCAAGCAAAGAAAGGTAAATAACAGAAAATTCTAACTAAGGGAGCTTCACCAAGGAATTTCTTTCCCCTAACTAGCTACCATGACTCGTTGGATTGAAACAATTTCCTTGGGCACGTTAATCGTGAACCGCAGAGGAATGCATATGTGGTCGGAGACCACAGTCTCAATTGCTAAACCGAGGTAAGGATGGAAGGCCTTGTCACTGGACCCTCTTGGTTTAAACAATTGGTAATTGACTTACTCCCCCACTCAACTCTAAGGTCGGACGGTTTAATCATGATTAATCAACTTGCTTAACTCAATATTGAGGGTCTCCCTAACTTAACCTAGTTTATGTGGCTTAGAAAGTGGAAGGAAAACCAACTCGATTGAGTCTCCCTTGAAAGGGGGTTTCCTCTCTAAGCTAGGCTAAGGTGGCAAATTAGATTACTAGCACCAAAATGCACAAACCTAGGGGAACTAAGCACAATTATGCACTATCCTTATGAAACACCCTAACCCAGCCGGGTACTAATTTTACCAAAATACCCTCAATAAACCGTGAAATAAAATAAGAACTGGAAATACTTAGAAAAATAGCGAAACATTTCATAAATAACTTTAATAAAAACCGAACACAACTGTCATTACTTAAACACAAAGCTTGACACTTGGGCAAACTCAAACCTTAAAATCTCAAAATGATCTCCAGCCTATACTCATAATCATAAACTGAAACAACTAAAAAGTCTCTAATGCTACTGCTTCCTGAAAGCCTTGACCCGACATCCTCAGTGGCGCTTGTACTTCCCTCCTCCAGCTGGCTGCCCTCAAACTGCTCCTCTCGAACTCGCTGATCTCTAACTCTTCTTAGTCCTCCTCAAACTGGTGAGTGAGATGGGGTCAGTCTACGCCCTTACGTTTAACATCTTACTATACTCTAGTATTATTCTCTAAACACTTAACTTCTACTGGTGGAAGTCATTTTGTACTTCCATTCTCAACAATCTTAACTCATAAAATTATTCGGGAGTTTAAGTTACTCTCCCTTCTTAAAGCTCAAAACTTGACTTAAATATTTTGACTGACACGGGGATCCCTCACTAGCAGCCGGTTGCCAACTCATACGTATGAGAAGCCATTCAGGCTTTCATTAAACTTAAACTTGGTTAGGGAAGTCGTAACGATTCATCCCCCTAACATCTTAAACTTATCGTGGTGGCTCTTCACCACGATTCTCAAGAGCATAACTGCTGCTCATCTTAAAAGTCTCAAGAGCATAACTGCTGCTCTATCTCAAAGATCTCAAGAGCATAACTGCTGCTCTATCTGAAAATCTCAAATGGCAACGAACTGGCGCTAGCGACTAAAAACACTTAAAACGACTTCACCTTCTTGAAGGTGAGTTACTTCTTAAAAAGAACTTGCTTCTTAAACTTTAACAATAACTCAAACATAACGATTTAAGGTAAATAGCACAAAATCACCTCTTACCACCTCAAATCATAGCTCAAGCAAAGTACTAATAACCAATCATAAACATAATCAAGCAATGTTAACCAATTCACTAAAATACTTAAAATCATAATACTTAAAAGTATACATAAGGCGTAGAATTTACCCCCTTTACACTCACCTTAAATTGAAACTGATTGGATTGAATCAGTTAATGCCCAAGACTATTTCCCTTCATTTAAATCAATTGGTGCCGCAAAATCTCACCACCAGTCGAACGTGAGGGAGAATAGACAGGCAGTCTCAATTCTCGCTTCCATTATAATAGGAAACTCCTACTTGCTTGAATAAAATGGAGCAGCTTGCTCAGCAATGAACCAGCTTGCTTCGGTGGGGATGGCAATAACAACTGACCATCTTGGTTAACGATGGACTAGCTTGGTTAAGCTAGCAACGGACCAGCTTGTTTAACGATGGACCAGCTTGGTTAAGCTAGAAGCTCTCGTAGTAGGGAGGAGGGATGGCAATAACAACGTCGACGAGGTAGCTTGGTTGC